AGGGGCCTTGGGGTGACCAAGTCACATTAGACACCAAAGGTAGCAGAAAGAGATGACATTCGAGTCGGGGAGGCCTACATTCAGCTGGACTTTCCTTCAGATGTCGCCTCCTCCAGGAAGCCTTCCCCTACTCCCATAGCCCCAGAGCTCCCTCCTTTCCCGCCAGGGAGAGAGAGAGTGAAGGCAGCAGAGGTGGCAGCAGAAAGAGGGCAGAAGCAGAGGAAGGGCCTAGTTCCTTCTGGCTCCAGATTCTCCACAGGCAACTTCTCCACTTTTCCTATGTACCGGACAGACCCCACACCCTCTTCCTCATGTCCACTGATGGATAAGACCACTCCACCCTTCCACCCCGACCCTAGCCCCAGCATCCTCAGGGGCCGTCACTGAAGAACCTTGACTAGTCAGGCCCCCGACCATGTGCTGACAGCCTCATAGGTTTCCGGGCTGTTCGAAGAGAAGCTGCATCACCTGGAGAGGCTCAGCTCAGGACTCCTGCACAACCTGGAGGCTGTGAGAGTCATTCTTAATGATCTGGGGGGAGGGGTCAGCTGGGGCAAGATAAAGCCCAACCGAACCTCACACTGTGATGGGCTAAGGAGGAAGAGGTGCAAAGAGAGGGAACGTCACTGGAGGGGTCATCCACACAGCCACTGCAGCGGCTGTAAAGGGGAGTGACGAAGGCTGCAGTTCTCCTAAGAGCTGAGACAGTCCAGATCCAGGGAGAAGGGCGGCTGCCCAGCCTTGGAGCATCACCTCCCACGGCCAGGGAGCTGCAGAGCCGACCCAGGCAGGCCCACACCTACACGCTCCGCAGGCAGGTCAGAGAAAGGAAGAGGACGGCTGGCTGGCGGCGCAGCGGTTAGATTTGCAGGCTCTGGTTCAGGGGCCTGGGGTTCATGGGTTCGGATCCTGGGCAGGGAGCTAGCACCGCTCATCAAGCCACGCTGTGGTGGCATCCCACATAAAATAGAGGAAGATGGGCATAGATGTTAGCTCACGGCAATCTTCCTCACCAAAGAAAGAAAGAAAGAGGTTCCACAGGGAGGGCATCTGAGTGGCTGCTGGGAGCAGGTGCTTCCGTTCTGGACACAGCATTTGCAGACCAAGCATCTAGGTTAGGAAGACTGGCTGTTCCCTCACTCCGTGTGTGCCCTTGTCCTTTACCTCTCTGAGCCTTCATTTGCCTCCCTGTAAAGTGGGCATAAATACAGCCCCCTGGGGGGTTGTTAAGACGATTTAAAATAGATGACGTGAGTAAAGCCCCTGACTCAGGGCTGGCACAGAGCAGGGTCAACTTGTGCCCTCATTCGAAAGCTCCAGGACACCCTCTTCCTGAACTAACACTAAAAAGGGCGCCTGGCTCGGTCAGGCACAGACTGACTTAATGATTAAACCCCACGGGCAGTTCGAATTCAGCCTCTTCTCCAACCAGAGCTGCGGGGATCCCAGAGGCGCGATGAGGGAAGGGACTGACCGTGCTGCTGGGAGAAGGGGGGACTTCCTCCTCCTGCCCCTCCCCTCCTCCCCACCCTGGAATTCTCGCCGCCCCGCCCCCACTTGTTTACACTTTTCTCCCCTTACAGATTAAGGCTAACAGAGTGCAGGGAAAAGGACCATGTGGTATTAGGAAGAAGACAGACCTGGGTCTTCTAAGCTCAGCTCTGCCACTGCCTAACTCAGGGAGTCAGGGCAAGTGTCTTAACGTCTCTGGGCCTCTGTCTCCTCACCTGTACAGTGGAGAAGAATGACACCTGACTCTGCAGGACTGAACTGCCACTAGAAAGAGAATGGGTAACGCACACAGTAGGAGCTTAGTGAACGTGCACGCTCGTGCTGACGCCTGCACACTTCTGTTCATAGAGCATTCGTCTGAATTTGCTGACGCCCTTCGTGAGGGCTCCCAAGGGGTTCCCCATAATCAATCAAAAAGGGCATTCCCTTCTTTGGCATTTCCTTATTGTACACGATTGCATGCCAGGTGGACTGTGGGGCACCCAATAAACACTATCTGAACTTTGACAGGGAGGGTCCTGCATGTCAGAGGAAGAATGCAGGACTCTGGAGCTAAACAAATCCAGATTTCAATCCTGGTTCTGCTGGCTGGACAAGCCGCGTGAGCCGGAGGGAGTCGTTTTACTCCCTGAGCCTTGGTTTTCTCATCTGTAACATGGAGCTGATAATCCCTACCTTGCAGGGCTGTTGCGAGAGTGAAATTCACTCATTCATTCAACAAATATTTACTGAACCTCTACTGTGTACCAGCCACAGCCCCAGGAGCTGCATACACAGCAGTGAAGAAAAGAGAGAAAATCTTCCCTGGGGAGACAGATGATAAACGGCTACCCACTCATCCAGCATGGCACGTTAGTGGTTCACGCTAAGGAGAACCACAAAGCAGGGTAAAGGGAGCGGGCAGAGCTGGGGGCAGGCGCAAGGGCAGGACCCGCGTTGGAGCAGAGACCTGAAGGCCACGAGGGGGAAGCCATGTGGAGGTCCGGGGTAAGATGCGCCAGGCAGAGGGATCAGCAATGCAGGAGCCTTAAGGAGAAGCTGTGCTTGGCATGTAAATGAAGCCACATATGCAGGAAGCCTGGCACGGGAGCCAGGTGCTCGGCAAGTGCCAGCTCTCTATTTCCAGTCCCGTAGAAGGAACCCCACGCAGGGGTCCTTTCCCTGAGCACGAAAGCACGAGGATTTCTACAGGGCAACACTGAACCAAGCGTTCTTTCAGCCCAAGATTCAGGCAACACGTGAGCTCCACCACCGGTTTTTGAGCCCCTGCCAGGCACCAGGCTCTGGGCTGGGCAACCAGGAATACAAGATGATCAAGACATGGGCTCTGTCCTCAGGCGGCCCCAAGGGCTGTGGAGACGGGCGACCACAATGCAGTGTGGTCAGATGAATAAGCAGAGACTGAAGAAGGCATCTAGGCAGCACAAGGAAGGATAGGGTTGGGTGTGATTGGTCAGGGAAAGCTTCCTGGAGCAGGGGACAACTAAGCTAGACTTTGAAAAATGGACCAGACAAGAAAGGATATGCCAGGAGTGGGGAGCATCAGATACTGAGCACAGAGGTGTAAAAAATGGCACAGTGTATGTGAAAAACTAATTATAGGCAGGTCGGAAAACAATAAAGGCCTTTCATATTCTTGGCACCTGCAAACTGATGTGGCTCAGGAATTCAGTTCTGTCCCCCTTCCTCAAACTCAGTGCCAGCATCAGCCCCAGTGGAGAGTTTGAATTTTCCACTTAGCTACTGCAGCGGGTAACTGACCTCAGCCCCGGGCTCCCAGCCCAGGGTGGCCCAGGCCACAAAGCGAGACCCCAGTGGGATGGAGACGACATAAATCTCCAGCTATATTTAGCCCGCCTGGCGTGTGTCTGTCCCTTCACCCACCCCAAGGCCAACCCACGGATGGCAGAATGGCTTTTTTACTAAAACAGCATAAACATTCCTTAAGTAAGAAATCCTACAGAGGGGTCTATGCCTCAGCCCGGTGTCTTTGCGGCTGACAGAACATCTGCCATATTTGCCAACATCCCTGGACACCTCCCGGCTGGGGGGGTGGGTTCTCTCCCATCCAAGCAATAGCTTGGAACAGGAAGTGGAGGGCACCCTCTGGTAAGTGGTCCCAGGTTTGAATCCCACCTCTGCCACTGACTAGCTGGTGACCCTCTGCTGGTGACTTCACCTCTGAGACTTTGGAGGTTGAGTGCAGTGGCCCTAAAGCTGCCCGCAGGCTTAAAAAGTAGGCGTTGGCTTCTCTTCCACAAACCGGCCTTGGGAACCCGGGGCTCAGCATCATCAATTTCAGTCCCCTCCAGGGGAAGAAACAACTACTTTTTGATAGAACGCCTAGAAGGGAGGGCTACATGGGAGTGTCAGAGCAGAGACCGAGTGACAGGTCCCTCTCCTCCTGAAACCTCACACTAAATTTTCCCCACAGCAGACTTGCTTCCCCGCTGAGCCGGGCCTTTGAACTTTAAAAAGACGCACAGCTCTCACCTTCCACCTAAAGGATGCTAGCGATGCCCCACCGTAAGCCAAAATAAAGACTTATTCTAAAGACTTGGGGGGGTGGGGAAGGGTGTGCAGGCAGACACAGGTCCCAATCCAGACTCTCCCCCCACCAGCAGTGTGACCTTGGGTGAATCATTTCCCCTCCTGTGAGCCTCAATTTCTTCATTTATAAAATTGAGATCCATCTCTTTACCACAAAGCTTCTGTGCATACCGCGCTGGGGGATGCAAAGCGCCCAGCACAGAGCAATGATCCTTTCCCACGATTACCAGGTGTTTTCTAGTAAGGCCTCCTTGGCCTTCCCACCCCCACCCTCCCCGCCTCATCCCCCTACTCCGGCCCCGGAAATTCTGGGGTGGTGTTAACCAGGGGGCGATGCGCTGTGCAGCCGCGACTCCGAGAGGCTAGAGAGACGCCCCCAGTTGAGCGGACACCAGAGGGGGGCGCAGCCAGGGTGCGGGTGGGAACATAGTCAAACCGAGGCAGCATGTGCCGCGGGGGCGCTGGGCGGCTGGGAACTGGGGTACCCCTGCGAGCACCCCCACCCCCATTCTCAGCAGCTGCAGTCTCGGCACAATGGGCGGCTTCTGGCCGTCGGAAGCCCTGGGGAGCCCGGCTCCAGTCACCCCCCGGGGCGCCCCGGGCTCCCTCCTCAGCGCCCTCGGGCTGGAACAAAGGCGAGGGGGCGCGCGGCATCGCCCCAGCGGCCCCTTCGCGCATCTGGCCAAAGCCGGGAGAACGAGGACGGGGGTCCCCAAGGTAACCAGGACGCGGTACCCGCCCTCCCGGAGCGCAAAGCCCAGCCGCGGGGCGCGCGCGGAGCCGGGGTCCGGGGTCCGGGAGGCAGCGGGGACTCCAGCCCGCTGCGAGCCGAGGGCTCCAAGAGGGGCCGGAGGTGGCTCTCCGGAAGTCACCCAGCGGGTCCCCTGAGGAGAGGAGGACCCCAGCGCCTGCCTCCCGGGCAGGGATCCGCGGCGTACCTGGCAGGGTCCTGTGCACCGTGTTGCCCATCGCTGCGTCTGGGCGCGACGTTGGCGGCGGCGCGCACGGAAGCTAATTACGCGGTGGGCCGGGGACCCGGGCCGGGGTCGGGCCCCGGGGCATAGCGGCTGCACCGGCGAGCGGGCGGGCGGCAGCTGGGGCGGGCGCCGGGAGCGAGGAGGCGGCTGGAGGAGGGGGCGGAGCCACCGGCCGGCCGCGGCCCCGCCCCCGCTCCCGCCGCCGCCAACCGCGCAGGGAGGGCGGGGCCGCGGCCGCCGCGTCTTTTGAAAGTTCGCACCCGCGGCGGGAGTGGAACGGCCGAGCCTCCCGCCCTCGCCGCTCCCGCGCCCGGGGCAGGAAGGCGCGCCGGGCAGCTGGGTGGCCTCGGGCACCCGGCTCGTCATCCCGCTGGCCTTCCGCTCATTTATTCCCACACTTTGGGAAAGCCTCCTGGGTGCCAGGCGCTCTTCCAGGCGCTGGGCCACAGCCTGCCAAGCCCTTGCCCCGCCGAGCAGTCTGCAGGGGCCGGGGTGCGGGGCTGGGGACGTGCGCACAGGCAGGTCACTTCGGACGGTGTAAAGAGCCTGGTGACGGCCAGGGTGACGGCGGTGGGGGTGGCATCACGCACCTGAGAGTAGGAGAAACCGAGGCAGCGGCCAAAGGTGGGGAGGAGGGAACCCATTAAAATGCTGAGTGCACCCTGTGTGCCAGTCGCAGCGCTGGGCGCTGTAGGTACAGACCAGGCATGCTAGTGGTGAGGACAGAAATATAAGCAATTAAGATCACATAATATAATGATCAAAGCCAGGAAGAAATAAAACAAGAGGGATGGGGGCCTCAGGGAGAAGCTGAGGGGCATGGCAGCTCCATCTGACAGACAGCAAGGAATCTGTGTGAAGAGCTGGGGGGTGTGCCCTGGCAGAGGGAGGAACAGGCATTGTCATTGATTCCTTCCCCCTGCAGGTGTTTTCCCAGCACCTCTCATGTGCGGGGGACCCCAGACCACGGTCAGTGGGGAGCGACGCCTGCCAGGCCCTACCCTCACTGGGCTGCGTTCTGCAGATGGGCACGCTGAGGCTCAGGAAGTACAATGACTTGCCCAAAAAGACTCGGTTCTAAACCAGTTTTTTCCCCACTCTACTTTCCATGCTCTTGTATCCTTTAAGACCTTATGAAGTATGTGTTATCACCCCCACTTCACAGATAGGGATGTCGAGCCTCAGAGAGTGGAAAAGAGGTGCCAGGATCTCCCAGCTGGTAAGGGATAAAGCTGGGCTGGAGCTATGTGAATGAGAGGGGGTCCCTGAGAGAGCCCCCAGTCAGTTTTTCCGGTGCCTTCTGCCTAGGGCGCCTGGCTCATCCCAGAGGGTTCTCATTGTTCAAGGTCTGCTCAAAGACCCCTCCACCTATGGGAAGCCTTCTCCATCCCCCACCCCCGGCCCTGACTTATCGTCTGGGTCGTATGCAAGGTTGCCTTGTATTTGTAGTTACTAATTTCTCATGTTACAGGTGCCCTCTCAGTGACTTGATTTTTACACACAAAGTCCTGCTTGGAAAGGTACATGAGTTCCTTTTCCCATCACATGAGTGAGTGACACACCCTCCGTCCAGGTGAGTTCGGGATGCAGCTAGAGGTCAGCATTATCACCAAGGGAGTGGAGGAAATTTACTCAGGCAGAGCAAGGCAGTGCAAGTGGGACTTTGTGACTGCAAGGGTCACAAAGGGAAGGTCGCCAAGGGTGACTGCAGGGGAGGCTGCTGTAAACAGTTCTTTGAGAAGTGGCTTTCAGAGTGCTCAGGTGAGTGGCCGTGTTGTGCAGGTTGCAGATGCACCCCTGCAGCACACGAAGCCCCAGCTGTCATAATGTCATGCAGGTGGTGCCTGCAGATGGGACAGGGGAACACAGTGTCCACCTGACACATGGATCCAAAAGGATTGTGTTTTAGCATCTTGGTCCTTGCAAATATGTTGTGCTTGGGAAAATGAAAAAAGCCCCTCCCCCGAGATGCTGGTCACACTGGTGTCAAAGCCACAGGTAGAGAATTTGAAACAAATAGTCTTTTGAAATTTGAGATCAGACAAAAGCAGTCTTTCCAAATTAATATTTTATATAAAAGATTTAAAAGATGTATGCCTAACTAAATAAATAAGTGAAATATTACAAGTAGATGTCTATTTTATCTCCACCTGTTAAAGTTTCATTTATATGATTCAGCTTTGTTGTGCATCTTCTCACCGTGAGCGTGGGACTGCCCTTACCCTTTATCTGGATTGCCTTGCATTTGGACGTATATGGCAGTTGCTCACCCCATGCAGTTTGTCCCTTTGCACTTTGTCCTGTCCCTCCATTACACCCTCAGGGCAGGTGCTATAGCTGTTACCCTCCCATCCTCTCTGCTGGCAGATGGGAAGCCTCCTGTGGGCAGGACCCAGGTGGTATTCATTTATAAATCTCCAGTTCCTAGAACAGGACTGGCACACACAAGTGCTCAATACACGTTTGAATAAGCTGACTGCAGAAATGCATGGCTCTGAACTGGAAGAAGAAAGGAAAGAAGGAGGAAGAGAAGAAGGAAGGGGTAGAAAAAAGTTGTGGAGGAATGAGTTTAGTTGATAGTAGCCCTGGACTATGGTGTGATCATTAGTGACATGTGTGGGGAGAAACAAACAAACAAAATGGGATACATTAACAGAAGGATTGTTGCTAGAACAAAGGAGGGGCTTGCTGCTCAAGTGCATGCTGATTAGACCATTGTGGGAGAAGTTGCTTTGGCTCCGGGAACCATACTTGAGAAGCAAGACAAAGCTGCTCCAGGAAGGTGGGGAAGGTAGAGAAGGTGGGGAAGGAGGGGAAGGTGGTGAGAGAGGGAGGTCCCTGTCACAGGAGGTGTGCAAACAGAAAGCAGGGTATGAAGGAGCATCCTCCGGCCTGAGCAGCAGCCTCTGGTCGTAACCTCTCCTGGCTTTGACTTCCACACACCCACCACACTTAACCACACCCAGACATGCACAAAATGTGCCAACCACCCTTGGCAGCGGGACCCGTGCTTGGGTTGCAGGGGCCCCTGGGTGGGGCTGACTCTCTTGTGCAGTGTTGGCACAGCCGCCCATGGCAGTAGGGAGAGGGAGGGCCTGGCCCGGCTCCCTGGCACTGCTCCCTCGGGACATGCCCTGGCAGGCCCTGCCCCATGCCATAGCACGCAGTCAGGTGCACCTCGTAAAAAGGGTGCACCCTGAGCTGGGGGGGACGCCCACTGCAGTCACCTGGGAGGAGATCCTTCGTCCAGGGAGCCCCAGGGCATCTGCCCAGACCCGGCCTCTCAAGTCAAGAACCAGGAGTCCAGGCTGCAGTCAAACCACAAACCTTAGGAAGGCTGTGTTTCAGCGAACCCTGCTCATCAAACCCTGGATTTCCAGACCCAGCGGATCTTCACCCACAAAAGCAACATTTTTCAGTTCCTGGTTACAAAGTGCTCACCATGTAGCAGGCACCAGGCCGCGCCCTTTGAGCACCCTCCCTGCAATCCAGCAGCGTGGTTGTAACACAATTCCTGTCTTGCACGAGAGGACGCTGAAGCTCAGAGAGAGGAAGGAATTGCCAAGGTCACGCCAGGAGGAGGGAGAGCCTGGAGGAGGCTGAAGTCACAGGGGTCTCGGTCCTCTCTTTTCACAGAGGAGGAAACAGGCTCAGGGCGATGAAGCTGCTCAGTGAACAAGTCATATTTGTGTGCAAGCGAATGTGGCTGCACTTCACCTGGCGGCCAAGGCAAAAACGGAAAGAGGCCCGTTGCATGGCTTTTCTTGTCCTGTTCCTTTGCGGATGCACGCTTGGTGCTGGAGCCAGCTCCCAAGGGGAGTCCATCCCTGGCGCTCGGGAAGGCCGAATGGACAGACTCTTCCTCCTGAGTCAGCCCAAAGACACATCCATGACGTTCTGATGGATGGGTCCCCTGCCAGCTGTCTGATAAGGCCAAGGGCTGACATTTTCCTGGAATCCGCTGGAGGCAGCTCTTCAGAGGCTGGGGCTGTGGGTGCCCTGGACTCGGCTCTCTCATAGCACAAGGACGGAGCTAAGACAGTCTGAACACGTGGTCATTATAGGGGTGGCAAGGAAGCCTGAGGCAGGGGCTGAGCTGAGATCCAGCCATGATCCCAGGAACTTGCCTTCACCCCGCAGTTACAACGATCATTCTGACACAGTGACAGCTAACGTTTACTGAGTGCCGGATGCTGCCCCAAGTCCTTCAGATGCATTAAGCTCACGACAACCCTAGGAGGTAGTGCTATCAATATGCCCATTTTATAGATGGGGAAACAGAAGCCCAGAGAGTGTAGGCAGCTTGTGTACCGTCACACAGGCAGAGAGCAGTCTGACTGAACACACTAGGCTCTGATTCATTTAATCCTCGCAGCAACCCTCTGAGCGGGGAAAGGGAGTTAAGGGTTAAGGAGGTGCTTCCCGGCCTTGTATCTGTTGCCTTTTGAAATCTCCATCTTCTCTGGCAAGGTGGGGGCATTATCATCTTCATTCAATAAGGCATGCTGGGCAGCTCAGAGAGACAAAGCAACTTGCCCCAGGCCACACAGCCCAGAGGCAGAACCAGGACAGAAACCCAGTTGCTCTGACCACAGAGTCTGTGTGCTCCTCTTCTTGGCCCCTCAAGTGGCAGAGAGTTTGCAAAGAGCCTGGCACATCCTACCTGGGGCAGCTTGAGGGAGGCCTGCACTGATCCATTCTGAGTCCAGGGCCCAGCCCTGGCCTGGCCCTGGGAGAGCCCCATCCCCTGCTGACTTCGTCGAGCTGTGGAGAGCCCACCCTCGGGGACACGGACTTCTAAAGAGAAACTGGAGTAATGGACTGTGGAGAGCTTAGAAGCCCGGGTTCAAATCCCAGCTTCACCACTTACTACCAGGTGACCTTGGATGGGTCACATGTCCTCTCTGTGCCTCAGTTTCTGCATCTGTAAAATGGGGCTGACAGGAGCCCATGTTTCATAGCAGGTTTGCAGGAGTGGATGTGCCCGTCAAAAGGGAACTGGCACGCAGTAAAGGGGCAGCAGGTGAGTGTGGGAAGAGCTGGTCTTTCTCCCTGGTCTCCCCACCCTGGACTCAGCCCTGCAGGCCCACAAGCTGAGGGCGGCCCTTCCCTGCCCCAAACCCCTTCCGCTGCAGAGAGGGTCCAGATGGGGCCAGAGTGGGCTGTGTTCAAGTCCTGGTTCAGCGACTCAGGCAGGTCGTTTCAGCCCTCAGAAGCGTCACCCCCTCCTCTGTCAGATGGCGAGGTCCCCTGCAAGCAGCCAGGGCCAGGCTTCCCCGCCCGGCACCCTGGCTCCGCCGTGTTCTGGCTGGTGCCACCTTCTGTCTGCTGAGTATCTGCAGCCTCTGGTTCTGCTGAACCTCGAAGCTTGTCGGCTGTGTGTTTGTGCAGTTACTTAACCTCTCTGAACACCAATTGTCTCACCTCTAAAGTGGAGCTGATACTAATGCCCACCTGCTAGGTGATAGAAACTTCCAATGAGATTATGCTTGGGAAGCACTTGACACAGAATAGTGCTCAGTGAATGCTGGATGAATGAGTAAATTGATGAAGAAATGCATGGATGAGCCCGGGGGCAGGAGTTAGGGCTCACTCAGATTATGAGGCATTGGCTAAGATCTCAGGCTCTGGAACCAGACCACCTGGGTTCATAGTCTGCCTTCCCTCTTATCTAGCTGTGTGACCTTGAGCATCTTACTCAACTTCTCTTTGCCTCACTTTCCTCTTTCCTCATAGGATTGTTTCGAGGATTAAATGAGATAATACGTGTTAAGTGCTTAGGACAGTGCCCAGCACATGGTAAATGCTCGATAGAATAAGCCACCGTTCTTATTAATTATTGTTAGTCCTGAGTCAGTTACTCGGGAAAGAGGCACATTTTCCTAGAGGAGGGGAACAGAGTGGGGAACACAGGGTGGGCCCGGGGGGGGGAAGCCACCTGTCTTGGCCCTGAACGCCGCAGGATCTTCGTGTCTAGGGGCAGCTCCCTGGGGCTGGGCCAGGAGCAGCCAGGTGTGGGGAGCCTGAGCAGCGGACTGGAGGGTCGTGCCCGCCTGGGGCTCGATGGCACCACCCGAGCCGTTCGAGGAGAGGGTCACACCCGACGGGCCTGGACCCTTGGAGGCCTGTCGCCCTGTGGTCTTTCAGGTGGTCTCGGCTGCCCGCAGCCAGCCTCGCTCTGACCAGAGCATCAGCAGACACAGAGGCACCAGGTTGGGCCAGCTGAGCAGGAGCCCAAGTTGGGGATCACAGGTTGGTGAGGCTTCGAAGTGGGGTGGGGGGCTGGCCAGCATGTGTGCCCTCCAGGACCACACCTCAATGGGCTGGGTCCTGCTCGTCCAGGAGTCAGGGCCGCCTGCGCCACGGATGGGTTCAGGGAGCTCCAGGGAGGGGGCCAGATGTGGGGCTTCCTCGGGCTCTGGCAGGAGGTGCTGCCGAGGGGAGAGCCTGGCTCTGGGTCCCCGGCTTAAGTGCACACCCAGCCCACTGCTGCCCAGCTGGGGGTCCGTGAGCATGTCACAGGCCCACTCTGAGCCTCGGCTCCTCATCTGCAGAATGGGGACAGTAATGCCT